AATTGGGGAAAGATTAGGGTTATGTAATTACTTAATTGGGGAAAGATTAGGGTTATGTAATTTCTTAATTGGGGAAAGATTAGGGTTATGTAATTTCTTAATTGGGGAAAGATTAGGGTTATGTAATTTGACTAATTTGCTGCTACAAGGCCTAGAATGATGCACAGATGATGTGTGAAATTTGGTTTGTATGCACAAATGATGTGTGAAATATAGCTTATGAAACTAGATAAAATAGGAATTGATGAAAAACTTAGTTAGTTATGAAACTTGATTAATTGAAGTACTTATTAGGGCTGTAATAAACGTAGGACCAATGTTACCAGAATGCATTTCGTAGTGAAAAAAACACTGGGGGTAAATTGGTCATTTTAACCAGTCCTGTCCTGTACTGTCCTGTCTTACCAAACGCTGAACAGCTGTTCTGTCCTGTCCTGTCCCGTCCTGTCCCGTCCTGTCCTGTCCAGTCCTGTCTGCGCACCAAACGCACCCTTAATGATTAAAGAAGATCCATGATACAAAATCATTCAGAGGGTTTTAAAATCATTAAGAGGCAGATTTTTTTTCGCCAAACATGATTCACCTTTTAACGGTTCAGAGGTTGTCTATTAATGAAACTATTAAGAGGTAAAAAAAACAACCCTTAAATATACTAAATAATAGTTATAAAAACTAATGCAAAAATAATTGATATGATTAATAATAATTTCAAATAATAAACAATTGATATTAGTATATAATGTATATTTATAAAAATAATTGATATGATTAATAATAATTCTAAATAATAAACAATTAATACCAATATATAATGTATAGTTAACATTAATAAATAATTTTCGATTATATTAATTACTATTTATTTATTTATAATTAATATTAATTAAGGTTATAATTGGAAAATACTAAAAAGCTTCTAAATACTACTCCAGAATAGCCTCTTTGGCTCTCTCGAAACCTATACAAGTTCATAAAATAAAATCGAGTGAGATGAAATTGAGTTGTATTACGTTGCATCACACTAATATACTCTTGGTATTAAATGATAACGTTTTTAGTTTTTTCATTTAAAATTTATTTGGTCGTGATCGATTGTCGTCTCTAAGTTAAACATATCAGCCCGTATTCGACATAAGGTGGAGGTTCCAATGTGATAATACATGTGAGTGGGCCAAGTGGTGTGTGGACAACAAAATAAATAATTATTATCTTTATAAAAAAATTATATTATTAAACAAAATATAAATTACTTCGTTATTGTACATAAATTAAATTATAACAAAATTGAATTAAAAAATTACACAAAAAATGAGGAATTTCAAATAGTTAATTTGATATTAATATCGATATATTTTTGTCAAATTTTTATAATATCTTCAAACATATATTTTATTCAAAAATAAAAACATCA